GGGGGGGAGGGTTGTACGTTCAGAGTTCAAGTGGTTCACCATCATGAACATGGGGAAGATAGTCCAGTGGATGCGTTAGTAGATACAGACACACCTAACGCATTCTATCGGGTGCGCTTCCCAATAAGCATGGGACACAAAATGAAACTAACCCTCAACAAGAATCCCGTCTCAAATATAATTTATATTCGACTGTATGAAGAATTCTTTTATTTATTTATTTATTTATTTATTTATTATTATTATTTTTTGGAACCAATACATGCTAGGGCAATGCGTCCGCGATGTAACAAATATCTTGGGTTTCTACTCTCCTTGCTATGGAAAAATGGAAACAAAGTTCAATTGATCTTATGCAAATGAAAATCAGTTCGCTACTTTAATAAATGCGTTTATTTATGTATTTATTTATTATTAATCCGTTCTTACTGAAAATTCTCTAATCTGATAATAAAAGAAAATAATGAGTGCATTTTAAGGCATTAGGTAAAAAATGAAGCAGTTATTTAAATCCAATATCTATGATTAAAAGGCATCGTACCAGAGAGGTTATGTTTTTGTTTTTCTGATGGAAATTCATCTGTGTAGTCATAGGATATGATTCAAGTGTTAAACTTTTCAATTTCTACACTAAAAATAAAGCTATACCTGACAGAGCTTTTGATCACATCTTCTTCAGTGTGATGTCATATGGGACGATTACTGCTCACCAGTGCTTTGGTGATTGTGTTGTCCCAAATGTGTGACAATGAATAGAGATGGGGGGGGGGGGGGGGGGGGGCCACCAATTGTAACCAGTGATCATCCCATATGACATCACACTGAAGAAGATGTGATCGAAAGCTCTGTCAGGTATAGTTTTATTTTTTAGTGTAGAAATTGAAAAGTTTAACAATTTAATCATGTTTTTGTTTTGTTTATCCGTAAGCAACATTATGGAAAAAGTTTTGAAAAGAATCTGATAAAATTTCCATGAACTGTCTGTAGTGGAACAAGTAAGAAGTAATTATGTTTTGGTGGTGAACTATTTATCAGTAAATGGTTAATCATTAGTTAAACCAAGGACATATATTGAATATACATCCTTGGTTAAACATACTTTTAATAGGATTTACCTGCCAAAATGAACTTTTCTAGGGAAAAAAACAATTTTCTCCTTCTCATGGATAATTCTTTGACTTGTTCTTCCACTTGATTTGTACATTTTATTCCATTTTCAATTTAATGATTTAGTTCTAGATGACTCCCAGCTCTTTTAGAATGCTATGTGTTCCTTTACATTTCAGAAGGAACTTTTATTTGAAGAGTTTTACCATTTTAAAGTTGAATACAGGTCTAAATTGGGAAAGAATAGTAGCTTTGCAGGATATGTAGATATCAAAAATATGACTGCAGGTCCTTTTTTTAAATGCAGAGACCCAGATAACATGCAACTGGTAGGCCACTGGTGGCATGTTATCTGGGGAGTTAACCAAACAATAAAAATAAATAAATAAATAACAAATAATTGTTTTTTTTAACATTCATTTTATTATAGACTAGCTGGTAATAATTAAAAATTAGGTTAAAATTAAATTATGAGTCCTGTTTTCAATTATCTTCAGTTGTTGCTCAACAATATTGTCTTAAGGCTGAAAAAAAGAAGAAAAAAGTCCATATGTAAAAATAATATAATCAAAAGAATTTTCTCAAAGATGTAAGTAATTATTTGATCAATTTTATTTTGTTTTTTTATATATATAAGAGTGTATGGTAAACTCCACATAACTTGTCACTCAATATCTTTTACTTTTTTTGTGGGACAGATTTAACTCAATATCTTGAACAAACCATCTGGGTCAGATTCTTTATAAAACTTTCTGAAGTAATGGGCAATGCAAAACTAAAATAATCAAGTACCAAGAACTTATTGCACTCAAATACTGCTTAGCATCAGTTTAATTTCTACATGAATGCCTAATGCATATGGTGAAATCACTTAAACTTGACATATTTTCTCAACTTACTTATTATCGTTGCCTCCTTCGCCTAAAACATGCAGTGACCATGTTCAAAAATCTCCTGAACCGAGAGACTCTTCTCTGTGGGGTCTCTGAAATTAATGATAAATATTAATCACTAAAATTTACTGACTAGCATTTATCAATAAGAGCCAGGAGAGTGGAACCTCTTTCAGATACATAAAGATTAGATGAGATAATTCTCAGTTGGATTGAGACAAACATTTAAATTTTCAAGTGGTATTATTTATTACCTTTGTTTTTCATGTCCAGCACAATGTCTTGAGCAATGGCTTAAAAATAAAGAAGAAAACAAATCAACATATCTTGTACCACTTGGCACAAAATGGAGAGCTGTTTCAAATACCTTTAACATATACATGTACATATCTAATTATATTACATTCAAAATTCTGTAATAATGATATACAAAGTTTATTATTCTTATGATTCACTGATTTTGGAATTTTATCCACCATAGGTCTATTCTTATACTTATGTGCACAATTTTGTATTTCAAAAACAGTTTAGATGGAATGTCAGCATTTCCATTTAAATTTGCTTAGTTCACATCTACACACAATCTGTTGCTCAGCTACCACATTTCAACAGAATTCTTGCATTTGCTTGTGTATGTTAAATCTATCAGTATGACTGGTAATAGTGCATCCTATAAAATCATTAATATGTAAAAAGAGGGAAACATACAGGGAAAGTATCAAAATTAACTAATATAATTTCTAGTGGATATAAGTAGAATGAATTCTTTGTACATAATTTTCAACCTTTAAGGCCCCAATTTTGAAACAAAATGTGGCTATTACTAAGTTTCAAAATTAGATGCTTATTGAGAAATATTTTGTCATTCAATATCTTGAACAAATCAAGGGGGTCTGATGTTTTATATGTAAAATTATGGGCATTGCAAAACTAAAATCGTCAAGTAACACAAACTAATTTTCCAATCCCAGAGTGTCCGAGGTATGCAAAATCTACTGTCTGCACTCAAACAATGTTCAACATCAATATAATATTTGGTCAATGAGGGATTTTTTTTAAATAATAGAGGTGTCGAAACTAAAAAACACATTCTCACCACCATGTGTCTCATTTACATCTTTTGGTGCTTCTTGCTTTTCATTCACTACTTGCTGTTTAGTGTCAGCTGAAAAACAATGGCATAAATTTAAATGCAGGAGATATTTTAAGGGCTGTCTTAATTTACAAAAAATGATAAGTTACCATGTAAGGTGATCCAAACTAAAAATTCTGTTCAAATTTAGGATTTGTTTAAATAATAGAGATGTCAAAACTAAAAAGCACATTCTTACTACCACCTGTCTCATTTCCATCTTTTGATGCTCCAAGCTTTCCATTCACTACTTGTTGCTTAGTGTCAGCTGAAAAACAATGGCATAATTGCAAATACATATATTCAGGGCTGCCTTAATTTTTTTTTTAATGTAATGTTTGTGTGTTAGGTGATGCAAGCTAAAATTCTTGTTCAAATTTAGGATCTGTTTAAACAATAGAGATGTTGAAACTAAAAAGTATATTCTTACCATCATCTGTCTCACTTCTATCTCTTGATGCTTCATGCTTTTCATTCACTACTTGCTGTTTAGTGTCAGCTGAAAAACAATGGCATAATTTTAAATGCAGGAGATATTTTCAGGGCTACCTTTTATTAAATATGAAATGTCACTGTATAAACATGGTGATCCAAACTTAAAATTCCTGTTCAAATTTAGGATTTGTTTAAATAGTATAGAGGTTGAAACTTAAAAGTACAGTCTTACCATCATCTGTATCATTTCCATCTCTTAATGCTTTGCAAGTTTCATTCAATACTTGCTGCTTAGTGTCAGCTGAAAAACAATGGCATAATTTTAAATAGGAGATATTTTCTGGGGTTCCTTGCTTCAACTGAGTAGGTGAACTAAAAAAATATTTCTGTCTTGAATGAAAATAACTTAAAGCTTCCGTTGGGTACATATGAGAAATTTATTTGAGCCCTATCATGAGTAATTAAATTCCAATGCATGGAGTATTTTGTGTTGAAAATATGGGCTTAGAAATTGCACAGCTTTCAGTCAAAAACCATTTACATGTCTAGCTGCTGGCAGTTTTGACACAGTTCAGCCTGTCTTCTACAGACTGTTTTTTTTTCCCAACCACAAGAATTAATTTGGTATCAGAATAACAAAGAATAAAGCACTAGTCCACTACCATCCATCTCCTTCTTATCCTCTCCTCCTCCAGAAATGTGGGGTGTTTTTCCCAACATGGTGTAAACTGAAAAAATAAAAACAATTTAAAACAGAACACAGGAAATATCTGCAAAGATCCTGACAGTGAAAAATTGTCATCTGTTCTGATGACAACTTAAAATTTAAAGTCCTTCAATTTATAAACCCTACAATTAATTTTGACATAAATTTTATCATAATGTATTATTGCCACCCGAGAGAACAGTTTGGTGAATTGTCAATATTCTTACATCAAATTATTTATAATAGCTTTATCTTGTGTTATTATGTTACTTTGCATGAGCTGATATATAAGTTACATACCACTAGGGGTGGGGTTGACATTCCACTCTGGAATAAAATGGTTGCATTGCATAATATCATTTAATTCCACATATTTCTTTGCATAAATGTTCAGCAATTATATTAATTCAGTAAAGTCAAACACATTTATTTATACATGAAGGAAGAATAAATCTTCTCAGATGTAACTTCTTATACATATTTTACGTGCTTGAATCACTGAGGACGGGAGAAATTATTATAGTGAAAATAAATGGATAAAAAATTATTTGGGGGTCCTGACCTGAAAAATATGTCACACCAATATTCTCCTCTTGAAATTAGAATTTTGACCAGTTAACTCACAGTTCTAAAAAGTGCCAAAGGGCACTGTTTGTGCTCCAAAACACCAAATAAAAACAAAAAAAACTGGGCCTTTAAGCAGGCTCCGAAACCCACCCCCCCACCCCCACCCTTCAAATAATCCTGGATCCGCCCCTGCACACGTATGCATGTTTACACACAAACATACATGCACGCGGTCACTTATAAATAATGTACATACTGTTTCAACAGTGCACGTAATGCATGCACGCATACTGCATAGCACAAAAATCATGTGGTTGTACATATACACAGACTGTTTGTACACAAACAGTACTCATAAAAAACGTAAAAAGGAGTGCCACTGCATACATTTTCGTGCCAGCCGTTGATTCACTTACGTGCACTCTGTTCTGTCCTGATGGCATTCTGCTTATCAAAGCTTTCCATATTCATCTGAGAAAAATGTTTTAACATTAATTCATTGTCACTACTGTTGTTATATGAAACAATTAAGTTTGTGACACTATGTACACATATAACTGTTTTAAAGTGCCGTAAAATTGCATACCCTTAATTTGTAATGCCCAATGATATAATAATAATTAAAATATGAAAATATAAGAAATCAACATTAAAAAAATGAGCCTATGGAGCATGAACATGCCATTATAATTGAAGTTTGTAATATTATAGCAGTAAATACACATATTGGAAACCAAAAACAAAGCAATCCAATATTTCGTCTAGGGTTTTTTTTCTAATTAATTTTTCATACAAGGTAAAAAATAAAAAGAACTAGGACTCGTTTTCAAAGCACTCTATATAATGAAATCTTTCTTCAGTACTGAGATTCATCATTAGATGATTTTGTTCCATGAAAATCTAATCTACTACGCACATTTAACTGTTACTAAAAATAACTTACCTGAGACTGCATAGACAACACTGTCCAATATTACCTCGAAATCGAGAAATTGAGGTTTGTTTACATTGATCATTGTATATGGAATTTGATTGGTCAGCCCTACCATTGTTGCCTGAACTTTGAACCGATCAAATTGATCATTCTTTAAGTGTAATAACACACTATCTTCTCTAACACAATAAGTCGAAGATCTTTTATTTATAATGTTACTACAATGTATTATTATTATTATTATTATTATTATTATTATTATTATTATTATTATTATATTAAGTGGTAGTATTAATTGATTTATCTTCACTTAGATTGTTAAATCACTTTTTTTTAAAATGAAATGTCAATAAACTTGGGAATTTTGTAAGGGGTATGTATATTCTTTGGATAGTTTCAATTAATATTATCACATAACACGCAAACATAGGTCCTTTTTTTGCCTCAATATAGAGTGTATTTTCCCCGTTTTTACTAATATTTGAAATAAAGTCAAGTAGTTTGGGTAAATTTTTATTATAATTTCCATACAATAAATTTGTTTTAAACTTCAGCTATTTTGTTTTCTATTTCAAATTTTGTTTTCATATATCATCAGTAGTTTGCAAACTATTCAGCACAAATTCACTCACTTTGTAATTTATGACGATTTGGAGTGTTTGTGGTCAATGAGATTATGTATTATCATTTTAAATGGACTTTGCTTATTAATAAAAAAATTGTTTTTTGTAGATATATTTTAAAGAAAGCATTGAAGGTTCATAGAAATGTTCACAGATACACATATGAAAAGTGTTATTGTATTTTTTTTAAACATTATTAATCTTATAAAATACAAACAAGCCATCTTTTACTGAATAAACATTTATTCATATATTAACCAATTCTCTTTTTTGAATCTGTTGCATAGAAACAACTGTTTATTTTCAAAGCATTTTTCTTTACTCTTTTTAAAAAGATAAAGCAGTTATAAAATTTCTACATCTAAACAAAAAAGAAAAAGAAATGACATTTGGTTTTTGTCAAGAGTTATAGTCACACAATATTTCATGAGCAAGAGCTTTAATTTCATGATTTCCTACCATCTTCCCCAAATAAGCATATTCTACCAATTATCAATATATATTTTGTACCTGATGAAAAATTCTTTGTTAAACTAGAGGATCAGAGAGGCGATACCGCCTCCTGGTATTGTACCACCAGCTGGAGTAAGCATACTTGTATGGGAAGGAAAAAGTAGGAGGGGGGGAGAGGACATTACTGTAGCATGTGGTTGACTGCCGGAATGTATTATTGATATTAAATATCATTTTTAATTGTAACAGGTTTGGAAGCTTTGGAGATAGAAGAATTACAAAATTTGTAAACTGTGATTCCTGTTTAAAAGTGGTCCAAGTTAGTTTGGGCTGCATAGTTAGAGTGATTAAAGAGGATTGATATGTGTTTGAGTTTCTGTTATTATTTGGGTAAAGAATTCAAGCTTAATATGTTTATATATAAAGCATTGAATGGAATGATAAATTATGTGTTTTTTAGCAGCTTAAGGAGTTATTGTTAATTAATTTTGTTCAGTGTTTAGATGGGTTTAGAGGGTGATTTGATGACTTTAAATTTGCAAAGTCCAGTTCATGGTGAAAAGTAGGTCAAAGGTCAAGTCACATTTAGATTGCCAGTATATGACTTCCTATTCAACTTTAATAGTAACTATGGACCTATCTCTGCCAGGTTTGGAGATATAAGGGACTAAATGTTGTAATTTTGGAGTTACCATAATGTGCCATAAATTTCCTACAGAAAAAATTAATTAATATAAAGAAAAGGTCATTTAGGTCAAAATTCTTGAAATGGGAGGTGCTCTGAAGTATCAGAAGTTCAAACTTGATGAAATAATGTCATTTTTGACCACAAGTTGTCTGCTTTGCCAAGCCTTATGTTTTA